CCCATCAAGACAATTATTTATTGGTATATAACCTATAATATTCTGATTAATTAGACCATCAAGGAAATTGCATACTCTTATTGATCAATAACTAAGATAATGTTAAATTTTGAAAAAACTTAAAATCCAAAAGATTATAACTTCATAACAAATCTGTAAATTTAGAATTTAAATAACTGTTCTATATGAAAAATATTTGCATAATCATTTTAGAAATTTAATATACTTAAATAAAAGATAATAAGTAAAGTAACAATCTATTAAAGATAAAAATGAAAATAGAATGATGGGCCAGTTCTTTTCTTCTACTTTTTTTTTTAACATATTGTCACAAATACTAAAATAACAACCAAAATTTTTACAAATTTTTAACATACCAAAGACTTGAAAAATTTTAAGCAGCACGGTGCACAGTCATATACTATTAAAGATGAAAATGAATATGAAATAAAACTCGTTGGTTTTTCTTTTTTATTTATTTGGTTCAGCGGGCTATTAAGAATACTAAAATAGCAGCCAAAGTCATTGCAAAATAACATGTTGTTAATGATGTAAATAAATATGAAATGAGTCTTTCCCTTTTTTTTTGGGTTCAACGGGCTGCCAAAAATATTAAAGTACCAAAAGTCATTGTAGGTATTTGACCTACCAAATACTAGAAACCTAAGCATGATGATACAGAGTGACATGCTGTTAAAGATAAAAATGAAGATAAAATGAGACCAACCAGTTTATTTTATTCTTTTCTGTTTGGTTCAACGGGTTTGTGAAAAATACTAAAAATTAACTGCTAAAATTATTGTATATTTTTAAGTTATCAAAAAATTGGAACCTTTTAAGTGGGACGATACAAAGTGGAATACTATTAAACATGAAAATGAATATTGAATAAGACCCACAATTTTTTTTTTTGTTTAACGGACTGTTAAATATACTAAAATAGTAGACAAAGCTGTTGCAAGCTTTTAATCTACCAAAAGACTAAGAAGTTTTTAGTAAGGTGATTGAGAGTGACATGATGTTAAAAGTTTAAAGCAAAAACGGAATAAGACCAGCTAGCAAAAAAATTCTCTCTGGGCAAGTAATTCTTTGTTCTTTTTTATTTTTTTTTGTTGAATGAACTGTCAGAAATATTAAATTAACAGGCAAAACTATTACAGGTTTTAACCTATCACAAACTCATAACCTTTTAATGAGGTCGGTGCATAGTGACAAGTTGTTAAAGATGGAAATAAAGATGGAATAAGACTCCCCAATTCTTTTCTTTTTTTTAAAAAATTGATATATTGCCAAGTGTATTTGGATGTGATGATCGATTTTTTATCTTATGATAACCCAATTAAAACATACTCAATTTCAATCTGTTTTGATATGTCACTAAAAATAATTATTTTAATTTCATTGTGCGTATGGATACTAATCTTATGACATAAGAGTGCCGGTTAAATTTAAGCGAAGGTAATTCCGAATTGTTGCATATTTTGTGATGACAACCAATTAAAGTATCGGGCAATCGCTCTCATAGGCAATATTGTCGGACCCGTACCAGAAGACGAATTGATGAAGTTAAAGGGTCATTAGGGCATTGGGTCAACCCGTTTGTCCGGGACAAAAAATCAGATTGGAGCGATATGACATCATATATAATTTTAAAATTTAAAATATATAAAATATGTGAAATCTAAAGTTATTAGTATTAAGTTATTAATTTTTTGTTAATATTTAAATAAATTTTAATAATTTAAAAGTAAGATAAGACAAAAAAAAATTTAATTTAAAGTTCCCGGTTTCTTCGACGATAGGGTAATTTTGGCACCAACCAATGACGAAGTTGATGCAATCAATGAGCATATGCTGGCACAACTCAGTAGGGAAGTAAAGATATATTACAGTTCTGATTGCATAGAAGAGACACCAAAGTCAATAAATCCTGAGGACGATGAGGTTTACATAGAAGAAAATTTCTTAATGCCATCAAGTGTTCAAGAATGCCAAATCACAAGATATCACTTAAGATCAGAGTCCCGATCATGTTCCTTCAGAATCTAGATCAACAAGGCAGTTTGTGTAATGGTACTAAGTTACTGGTCAACAATTTGGGAGAACGAGTTATTCAGGCTACTATTATATCTGTTGTTAATATCAATTGCAAATGTTTCATTTCGCGTATGGATATTAGTCCAACTGACGAGAGGATGCCGATTAAATTAAGACGGAGGCAATTCCCGGTTGTAGCATGTTTTGCTATGATGATCGATAAGAGTCAAGGACAGTCGTTATCTCATGTTGGCTTATTTCTCTGTCGTCCAGCTTTCACTCATGGACAACTTTACGTTGTTTTCTCCATAGTAAAGCTCAGAAAAGGTTTGAAGATAATTATTTGCAATAAGAAGGAAGAACTTTGCAGCGCAACAACAAATGTTGTTTACAAAGAAGCTCTTAACAATGTATGATGCGGCCATCATTTATTTATTTTCATTTTTTTTTTCTGTTAATGATGTTACAATTTTTTTTCAAATTAATATATCTTTTCATTGAAATACTTTCAAAAAATCAAATCTGTCTCAACCGTGCAACGCACGAGCACAATACTAGTATTAATACAAAATTATTTTTGCAAAACGTGGCACAAAATAAGAAGCCCACTCAAGATATGGTGAAAAAAAATTGTTAACTTAGTTACATTTCATGTCAATTAATTTTATTATTTAAATCTATTATTATCCCTTCTATTATTAAATGATAAGATAACATAAAATAAAATAAAAATAAACTTAAAGTGATAATAATTCATAAAGATGCTACATATTCGTTACTAGTGTTTCATGGGATGGGTGAGTTGTTTGGTGTTGGTTATAGATGATGGAAGTAGTTCTGATTGCTTGAGTGAGTCGTTTGTTGAATCTATGCACGTTCGTGTGGAGGAGCTCAATGAACCATACAAGTTTTGTTAGATGCAATGATGCATAGTGACTTTGAAGTGAATGTGACTAAACAAGTCCGGCTATAATTACATAATGACATTTGAAAATTCCCCTAACACATAAACTACGAAAACCTTTTACATAAAAAAAAGCGGTGAAATGATCACCTTTGAACCCACATCTATATTATCCTTCTCTATACCAAATCTGGATTACAGATCCAAGGGGCCAAAAATTAATCCTTTATTCATCTACATTGAGCAATGAATCAATGATAATTTGCCTTGATTTCAAAGTTCCTCTTCCAAATTTTGGCCCCAAGAATCTTGCTTTGCTTTAGCAATCATATCTACATAGGAGATTTTTTACTCCACTTCTGTGTTCATTGTTTTACTAGAATTTCGAAACAAGACATTGTTACCAGTTAATGGTATTGTATGAGAATTTATCTAGCGGCATTGAGAAGTTTCTCGAAGATGAAATTATTGTAATGACATTCCAAAATTTTGAATTCTAGTTTGAGAGTTTGGAGAAGGATCAAGGTATTCAATTTTCCATTTATTTTTGACGATTATTAATTTATTACATTTTTTGTTATATATAAATGTCTGAATGATGAAATATTGGCATCAGTAAATTTGTTTTTTGTGACATGAAAAAAAAAATGATTCTTTTTTTTTCCTTGAGGGGTTAAAAGAAATATGATCTTTTTTTTTTCCAATATGAACTAGGATTTTGAACGAGGAAAAATTGAAGTTTCGGTTGAGGTAAAATTTTTTATTATTGTAGTTGAAAAATATTAAAATAAATGGTTCTTTTTATAAGTAAATAGAAAATTGAAAATTTACATAGCTCTACCAGCTGAAATATTTAGAATAATTCTACCACCAGCCGCGGTTTCAATCGTAGTCTTCTCATCATGTCCTAACTGCTTCGATTATTATTCCATTCTAATTCCTTCCCGATACCTTTGAAAGAAAATCTCGAATTGGATCACTGTGACCAGATTATTTATCTTAAGCGGCTGCACGTATAAGTGAGTAGTCCATCCCCATTGACTATCATCGGATAAAGTTTGGAAAAGAGAGTTTAACAAGCTGTTGCAACTAGCAAAGTCTCGTTGAAAGCAGGATCAAATCCTCTTTTCCGTACCGAAAAATAAAAATTATATGGAATAATTTACAAAAATTATTTTTCTTAAGAAGTTAATATAAATAAATATAATAATGTGACGGGATTATTTTATTTTCACCATGAAATGATTGTTCATTTTATATTCTTGTTTTAGTATACTAGTGATGTCTGGTCGTGCAATGCGCGATCCTGGCCCAGTCTATTTGTAAATCTTAGAAATGTTTATATTTGAAAAAAATAAAATTTTGTATTTGAAGCGATATATTTTAGAAATGTTTGAAGGATTTAGAAATGTTTTATAAGTGTGATCATAGAAATATTTGTATTTCACAAAAAAAGAAATTGTATTTCGCCATGTATGTTTTAGAAATGTTTTATAAGTGTTACTTATTAAATATAAATAGACTTAATCGAATATATGTGTTGAAGTAAATGTTAGACAAAATATAAACGTATCCTAATAAGTTTAAATATCAGTAAGATGATTTATTGATGTTCTCCATTGGTCGTGCCAAATCAATACTTAGTTTTGGAGATTTTTAATAGCTTTGTAATAAGCTTCATCCGAAGGGTATACGCTTAAACCAAAATTGACACTTTGTAACAAAAACCTAATTGATCAATTCAATTTAGACTCCATTATGAAAATTTATTAATTTATTAATACCAATTAATAGAAATTAATGAGGTGGAAATGCCACGTGGCAATTGAAGGGGAGCTCTTTGAAGTGTGATTTTTGTTTCTTATATAGTAAGTAAGATAAGATATAAAAGTATAAAAGTAGAGTGAAACTCCAATATTTTTTAATACATGCAGTCTTTTGTTTTTAACTAGGGATTGGAGCCCGGTGGATTGTATACAGTGTAATATATAATTTTTATATTTAATAAAGGCAAAAGGTAAGCAGGAGGAAATGAGTCGACGTACTGGAATCGATAGGAAAGCCAAGTAGGTTCGTGCCACGTCTTAAGATTTAACGTGTTAACCTAGGATTTATTAGCCAAATCTGTTGTCAAACTGATTTTAGTCAGTTAGGGATGGCAGTCTGAGTTCTTAAAACCTTCTTAATATTGATACTCAGCAAATCTATTACCAGTCAAATAAAAATAAGCGATTTTATTGTTGTGCATTTGGCCGTGCATTGAATGAGAAACACCAAGTTATAGCAGATGGAAAACAACTAAACAAATTCTATAATAAGAATAATGAACATATGATCTTGCCCCAAAAATGTCATTTAGTAGGCAATTAATAGACAAACTTTTTATATAACACAATACAAGTACGTGAACTTTGTAAATGAAAAAGCAAAGCGAAGGTCTTCATCTTCGTGAATACCAATGTTGATACGAATGGAATCCAATCTATGGAACCTAAACCAAACCGTAAAGCAGGACCTATCAATGATGATGATTTCCATGAATTTAAATTTGATAACAGGAATGTTATAACAAGAAAGGTTTAAGGGAAGAGCTTGTAAAAGCCTGCAACCTTTCCCTATTTCAGAAAGGGCAAGATCACCTATCTTCTGACAGTACAACAACGCCAACTCAGAAAGGCTCCTGTAGAAGGAAAGCAAAATTTTCAATGAACAAAGGGAGAAGTACCAAGGGACAGATCACAACTGGACACTAAACATAAAAAAAGAGATCTCGAATTTTTTTTGCAATTGATTTACTGTTAACCATTATTGAGACCTCTGTAATGATAAAGAGAACAGAAACTAAAACCATGAATAATCGTACATGCAAACTTTTCCAATAGATTCCAGTCCTGCTGTTCCAATATTGTGGCAGCCATTTACCTCAAGATGTGTCAGATTAGAACAACCCACTGCAACAGCTTGCATACCATATCACTTAGGAAATAGAAATCACTCAATGTAAGGTTCTTCAACTTTTTATAACCTTTTCCTATAGCACAAAGACTCCTGTAACAAGGGGAAACCGTTAAATACTCCTGTAACAACGAAGAACAGTTAAAATAATACAGCAAAAAAAGATCCCACAAAAAAGACAAGCTATTGGACGTGTAAATAAATAATCTTCTGGGTTGCAGATAAGCAGGGAAGATGGCTTCTTATTGCGAGGTGAAAGGTTACAAACAGAATAAGACTGCAGATAAGCAAGTTCGGAATCAAGTTCTTTTCAGTATTTAGTCGATTACTCGGGAAATATATAAGCCAACAAACATGTTCTGTATGATAATATTTCAAGAATAAGACTGTAGGAGAGATTAACAGTAGAAGAAAGTAGGCAGACTTGTCTGTCAATCTCTGAAAACTGTACAATGCCAATAAATCCAATTGTTTACAAAAGACTCCCACAGCTTCTAGAGCCTCATCGGTGACATTAATGCATCGTAGCTTCAATACTTTCAGTGCCGAGCATCCTTTGGCCACCGAGATGACGCCTTTGTTATGTATACTCTCTGAATCTAATGATAATGTTTCAAGATAATGGCAATGCGATCCAACTGCTTCCAGAGATACATCGGTTATTTTGGCACATGCAGCAATGCCAAGAGATTTCAATTTTTTACCAGCACCAATGGCTAATTCTACCAAGCCATCTAAGATTGATGCTAGGCGTTTCGGCTAAAAAATTTCAGAGTAACCATAGGTGGCTCTATCAAACATCTTTCTCTTGTTCTGCTACTACCCTTACAGCACTCATGCCTTAATCACAGTTCAAGTGCAATTGAAAATCATAGAAAATACACACAAAAGAGCTACAATTCTGCACGAAATTACACCCGGGTCTTGCACTATAATTTCTTTGATTCATTGAACCATTCAACTGAGGGAGTCTACAGAAAGAAATAACAATGAGATGATTCTCCACTCTTGATTTTTATCCGAAGAGTCTACCTTTGAATGAGCAATATCTAGATTTATGTCCGGGTGTGATTATCCCATGTGAACCTACAATTCAACCACCCATTCCAACAAACTTTCTAAAAGCCAGTGACTTTCTTTCTTAAGATATGCCTAGTAATTACAGCTTGACAACTAACAAAATGGAAAAGAATGGCTTAAATAATCATATATATCAAACTAAAAACTATGAAGGATGTAAAGAGTCACCTCATCGAAACAAACTAATGTTGGCTGCTCAACATTGTCGAGATATTCAGCTTGCTTTTTGGATTGATAGGCTTATTGATCAGCTTCAAGGAACTGGAACCCGCCAAAGGATTCACACTCTGCTTGTTCCACATTCAAATTAGGTTCCAACTCTTGAATTTCACGAATTAGTATGAGTATTTCCTCCTCGTGTTGTCCACACGTAGCATTTTGGTTCTGTAGAAGACCAACGTCAGAAATTTAGCAACAGAAAGCTCTTTCTAACACTTAAGAGACCCATTTTCAGTTTGTAGATGGAAATTTGAGTGATGGAATCGCAATAATCATCCCAAAGCCAGGCTCATAATGAAAACAAACTCTTTTAAGGCTACAACTCATTGATTTAGTTAATGAATGTATTCCAGTCAGATCCAGGTTTCGGTAATCCAAATTGACCATAGATTCAATTTAAGCATTACTCTTTCTTGCATCAATGCTACATAGATGAATATACTCAAAAAGAGAATATACCAACACGTGAATACTGTTTTCATCACATATATGCATTTTGGGCTTTAAAGAAAAGGGAAGAAGAGTCAGAGAGGGAAAAGAAATAAACCTTAGGCAATGGACGAACTCCCATGGCCTGAAAAGCATGGTCGCCTCTGATGCCGCTAGAACAATCATCATCGCCACCCCGCTGAGGAGGCACGATCGGATCATCAAGACTAACCACAGCAGGAGTCTCCCAAACCAAAAGGTCTAAAAACCCATAAACATTTTACCCATAATCTTTCTCAATATTGTTGTTACTATCGTTCACCTTACCAACCGGCGCCGCCCCTTGCTTACCGGCCATGTCAGAATCAAATCCGAGAATCCCCAGCAACTCACTCGCAGAAGAGCAGCCCGAGAATCCCTTGAGAGGCCTCTAGTCATGCTACCCGACATCATTGTGGCGGTAGTGAGCCTTGTGGGCATCCCAATCGCAGGCAGAGGGCGGCTTCGGAACCAGCAATTTTGTGACCGGTAATTAGGTTTCACGAATCTACTTTCAGTTGGGATGTCTTCACCTTTGAATACCAATGAATTCGATTAAGGAAGGGGGTTGAATCCCTAAAATCCCTTTCTGAGGTTTTCTTATGCTCGAATTTGCTTATTGAATTGGATGCAAAGGAGTAAGACAGAGAAAAGACGAGACGGCAAAGAGAAGAAGAAAGGGAGACGACAAAGCCAGAAGGAGAAAGGGAGTTCACCGGGTTGACCGACCAGGAACGATACACAAAGAAATAGATAACACAAATATTAATCTGACTTAGTCGTCGATTCACTTTCCTGCAAGAAGAAGGAACGGTAAATCGGAAGCTTCTAGCGTTGACGGCGGCGGCAGAGGACTGTGGAGCTGCACCCAAGAAAAGATGAAGAAGAAGACACAAATTCGAGAGAACCAGGCAAGATTGACAGGTGTGAGGGAGTTCACCGGGTTCAGCTCGCCACGTGTCGTTGACCGACCGGGAACAGTACACAAACTGGCGCTGACCCGGTGAACCGCGCCTTTATATTACTTAGGCTTTGTTTGTCGCGCCTTTATATTACTTAGGCTTTGTTTGTTTGGTTTTTTAGTGTGTGTTTTTAGGTGTTTTTTTATTGGAAATGTAAAAAGATGTATTGAAAATATAAAAAAGTATGCTAGAATGGGACAGTTAATATTTAATTATTTTGAAAATAACATAAAAAAAAAACCAAACAAAGCCTTAGATACCAATATTTTATTTCACATGTATAAATATAAACCCCACGCCTCTCTGCTCACTTCAGTCGGACCTTGCTTGCTACCCATAGGCCTGATGGACTTGAGCTGCATTTCTCCTCCCTCAAATCTCCAACGGCTACTTGTCCAGCCAAACAAAAACCATCTTGGAGTCCTTAATTCATTTCAAGTCAATCATGCAAAAAGTTTGAATTCCTGGTTCCGTATTGTATCAAACTCTGCTAGTTCTGGACGGTCAACCATTGTTTCCAGAAGTGCCATTTTAGATACCAGACATGGGAATGATAACAGCAACAATGCTTCCCCTCAGGCAACGAAGTTAAGGAAACTTCTGGGCTCGCCCGGAATTCATCTGGGTCCGGCTTCTTTTGATGGTTTGAGTGCCAAACTTGTGGAAAAAGCCGGCTTTGATTTCTGCTTTACTAGTGGTATGTGGGTCTACTTTATTTTTTTTCTTTGATTATCGATTTCATATGCCCCTGTTTTTCTCTCAATGTGGAGGTTTTTCTAATTTAAGTTAAGTTTCAATGTGTAATTTTTGCATTAAACAAATTGTCTGAGGTTTCTATAGATGATCAAGAAGGAGATAGTGATTTTTAATTGAAATTTTGATATCCGATGACACTGTTCTTTCTATTGAGGACTTTTCTTAGTTAATCTCGATCAATAGACAATATTATCGAATGCTGTGATTATGAGTTGCTCATCTCTCATGTTTATCTAAAATGAATGGAGGTCTACTTGGTTTGCTGGAAATTTTTCTGAAACTAAAAATTATTTGATTGTACAAAGGGGGCTGTTCAAAGTCCATTGATTGTTGGATGTAGTTGCACATATGTTATCTGCTTGCTTTGTGAGTATCTAAGAGACTGATATTTTTAGAATCCTTGGTATAGAAGTACGCTTCAGTCCCTGACCATGTCCCATTGTCAGGGCCAAATCATGAAACTAAGTAGAAGCGCGAAACTAATGATGCTTGAGTCGCTGCTAGTGATACTTGAGTATGATGGCATTGCTGGAAGTGAAAATACACTTTCACTAATAACGGGAAAGATCAAATTGATGGTTTTAGAAAGGCTGTAGTTGAGGTCTTTATGGATGCATTCTACTGAGACGGGGATAAAGGTTGCTTGTTACTTCAAATTGTCTGGTAAGGGTTAGCGCTTTGCAACAGTAATTTCCAAGAATTATCATTAAGAAGAGGAAAATGCATACGGGTTGTCCTGTGGTTGCAAAACACGTTCCCAAACCTATCAGCCAATGATGATGGTTCCCATTAAAGTTTCACTTGTACTTCTATCCCTGTTCCCTGGATGAGTCTTATTAAGTCGTATCATTTGTTGGTTTACCTCCTCAATGAATGATGAGGCTCAGCCTGGAAGCTGCTTAGTTGCTGAGAAGGAATCTGTGGATTGACTATAAAACTTGATGGCCTGGATAGATAGCCATTTTTTCTTCTTTTTTCTTACTTCCCTCTTTAATACATATCAGTTTCCAAATCTTTAAGTGACATATGGAATATACGTATATGTTGCTGCCTTTTGTAGGAGAAGCCTCTAAATGACTTTTTGTTAGAGTCATTAATGATTTATGTAATAAAATTTTTGACCTTACCAATTAGGAGATATTCTAATCCATTTCATGTTCCTTAAGGTTTTGGAATATCAGCAGCTCGGTTAGGTTTGCCAGATACAGGACTCATTTCTTTTGGAGAAATGGTGGATCAAGGACAGCAGATTACCCAAGCTGTGTCCATTCCTGTGATTGGTGATGGAGATAATGGATATGGTAACGCAATGAATGTCAAGAGAACAGTGAAGGGATATGTTAGAGCAGGATTTGCTGGTATAATTCTTGAAGATCAGGTCTGCAGAATTAATGAATCTTTATCTTGACTTCAAATCTGCCATTATGTCGTCATCATTGTTGTTCTTAAAATTTCAGTGCTATAAATAAAAAGTTTGTTTTTCCAATGCCAAGCGGAAATTGCTAGTCAATAATGAGTGGCTTTTTTTTTCGACTCTCATATATAACTTTCAAGACCATGAACCCCAAGTCAAAGTAAACTTTCCAAAAGAAGAAACGCTGATGACGTGCTATGGGACCTGAAAAATGAACTTACCATGCTATATTTTCATGATCTCATTCATCTTAAAGAACTTTGCTAATGATCTACTTCAATATTTCTGTGAGTATTTGAAGGCAAAGAAGTTCATAGATGGACTGTAAATTTTAAAACATTTACGGGGGTATATCTTTCATATTCTTAAAGGAATTTTGTGACATGTACTACTGTTCTTTTTTAATTTCCATCTTTGTTTCTTGGTGGTGCGGGAATGCTTTGATGTTGATTCTATTTGAAAGCTGGTAGCCAGACCCAGGAATTTTTATTTTTTGAGTTTTAGACTAGGAGAATCTGGGAGGAAAAATGTCTTCCCCTCTCTGCATTTGTTTCCAGGGCTATTGTACTGTTTCAACCAGAATGCAGTATAATTTTTCCTGTAAAGAAATTTTTTTTTTTTTTTCCTGTCTTGTAATGGCTAATTAGCTTTCTGGTGCATATAGAACTATATATGCGAAGTCAAATACATAGATATTCATGCTGGTAATGCTTTTGCCAAAAGGTTTCTCCAAAAGCCTGTGGCCATACACGTGGGAGGAAAGTTGTGTCCAGAGAGGAAGCCGTCATGAGAATAAAAGCAGCTGTTGACGCTAGGAGGGAGAGTGGCTCTGATATTGTTATAGTGGCACGAACTGATTCCCGACAAGCTGTGTCCTTTGAAGAGTCCCTTTGGAGGTCTCGTGCTTTTGCTGATGCTGGAGCGGATGTTTTATTCATTGACGCACTTGAATCAAAAGAAGAAATGAAAGCATTTTGTGAAGTTTATCCTCTTATCCCCAAGATGGTAAATCTTGAGTCTAATCATTCTGAAATCGGTATTAAGAATGTTTATGCAAATTCTAGATCCCTATTTGTGGTATTAAATAACAGGGAACGTTTATACAAATTCCTTGCATGCATAAATCTATTATTCATATACCTCATGGAAGGCTACATTACCTCCTTTTTTTATGCTTTGGAATTTTGGATCAATTCTAACTATAAGTTTCCTCATTCATATTATTTTATATTGATCATTAGATGATTGCCTAACATTGTTATCTTTCAGAATACTTTTTTATTTTGATAGCTCTTTCAGAATCACATGGAGTGTAGATACTGCAGCATTAATTTCACTTTGTTGTTGATGTGAATTGACGAACAGTTTCATAATGTCAGTGCAAGCATGCTCTGTTTCTCATTTTACTTTTCATTCACGGTCTGCTTACTCATGCAATTAACTTTGCAACTGTAATGCCTTTCCATATTGTGTTGCTGCTTACATTTTCATGATGTATATCAATAGTTTTATTATCAAATGAGAGGGTGATTAGCAAGATCAAGCTTTTTTTACATGAAAATCCAACATGAACATTCATAGATGCATCTGAATGAAATATTCATTATCACTAATATCGTATACCTTGAAAATCTTGTCAAGGCTAACATGCTTGAAGGAGGAGGGAAAACGCCAATCTTCAATCCTATTGAACTTGAAGAAATTGGATATAAGCTTGTGGCATACCCGCTTTCTTTGGTTGGGGTCTCCATTCGTGCGATGGAGGTAATAATTATTTGCTTTCCTTTTGGGCTTAAACAAGGGTTTATAGTGTTTTATGGTGATCAACCTTTTTATCTTTGCCTACCATTGTGCCCATTGTAGGATGTTATATACCTCAGAATTTTTAAAATACAAACTACTATACTTTTTTAATCCATACGGCACTACATACAGGAAATTATAGCTGGAATTAATTACAAAAGAATGTTATTTCATGATCTTAGCGTATCTGAATAAGTACATTCCTAGAATTTCAAGTTATTATTGTGATTCTTCTGCGGTTCTCTAGACTTCTCCTTTACCTCTATTTTGCATATTGATTCTTTCCTTCTGTGAAATGATGGCGCTTATGTATAATGCATTCGGCTGCATACAGGATGCCCTTGTAGCCATAAGAGGAGGAAGGTTGCCTTCTCCTGGAAGTATGCCTACCTTTGAAGAGATGAAAGAGATTTTAGGTTTTAACAATTATTATGAAGAAGAAAAGCACTATGCCACCAGTGTCTATCAAGTTGCATCACAAGCCGGTGGGTGAAAACTAGGTGTACTTCCGCCTGACACATTAAGATGTTGATGCAGTGTAGTTTTTTTGCTTAGATTCTTTCAGATAATCTGGCCCTGGGTACATTTTTAAATAAGAGCTACCGTTGAACTATAACATAATTCGACTTCTGTATTCATTCATTAGGTTGGTCATTAGGAGTTAGAGCTTCTAAGTAGAAATTAATTCTGCATAGATGGATGTCATAAATAGTCGAATGACAATTCTCAATAGTGTATGGTTTGGTCAAACTGCTCTGAAGTGAATATTCTATGGATACAAACAAATATATTCACGTCTTGCATGTCCAGCAAAAGATATTCATCCTCTTCCTCTATCAAACTAATTTGCATTTGGTTTCTCGTTTTTCTTCAGTAGCAGAACAAATGTTTTAGACTGAAATTTGATTATCCCTCTACAGGATACAGTACCAAACCAAATATCAAAGATGACAAGGACCCAAAAAGTGGAAGTTTACATGAACCTGTGATTGAAGTACTCACTCCTGAAGTATATGACGGAAATGTTGCAAAAGATTACGGCAGTCCATTTTCTGGGATCTGGTCTAGAAAGTTAAGAGTCAAAATTACAGGACGAGATGGGTTTGAAAAGCTTGACATCCGAATTCCTGTAAGTCACCATTTTAAATATTTGTCTCTTTTAAATTCCTATGAGAAACTTCGATCTTATCGTCTGCCTATATTATCTTCTTTGATTGGGTGTAATTTGTTCGCACTATCTATAGTATAGAAGCATTTGAATATTGAATTTTATGCAAATAACTAGCCAAACATGAGCTTCTTGGACTTCTGATGCCTTTCATAATATTGATCGAATTGCGGAGATGCTGCAAGCTAAATCCATATATAGTTAGTGTTTTTCCTATATTGCTATTATATCTCACTGAAGTGTACCAGCATAAGACCTATATTTTAATTTGATGGATATTAGTTAAATTCAGCCTGTGTGATGCTCTATGCTCTCTGACTGTGCCTTGTCTGGTGTGCACCTGTGATGGGCATGCAAGAAAGCACACATGGGAGAGGTTCTCCTGCTCTCTCGTGTGCAAACACAGCAACAAGCGGTTTGCAGCAACAAGCGGGGGCGGAGGCAAGCCCCCACTAGTAGGTGGGGTAAAATTTATATACAAATTTCACTGGGGCAGACTGTACATGCTTTGAAATTTAGTGGTATAGTTTGGAAATTTTGAGCTGGGCAGGCTGTAACCTTCCTCCACTCCTGGGAGCAAGTGTATGGTGAGACTATTTGGGTGCTTATGACAATTGTTTCTGATGTAGTAAGGTTCCAGAAATATAGGTAGCTTCATATTAGTTTTAGGAAAATAGCTAGAATATTCTTAGAATAAAGTGTCCTTTTAGTTTAATTTCCTATTTGCTATATTACGTTAATTATTTATTCGTTTTAGGCAATCTTAGTAGGTTAAGGAATAAGCCAGACGTGAACAAAGTTTAGCACGCTCGTCATTCTCACCACTTCACTCCTCCATCGCCGATTACCCGAAACCTCCATCGTCATTCTCCCAATTTGCAGAAGTGCCAGATATTAGTTTTTAAGCTTGTATTGTCATTCATGTTTACCAAACTTTTCCTTTTCATTTGTTTATTTTTGAAATGAGTGTTGATTGTATTGTATCAGTCATTCGTGTTTGCCAAAATTTTTCCAGTATGCTAAATATCTTTTTTTGATCTCTTTTGTATGAAAATATCATCTGGTCAGGCTGGATTTCTGGATGGCATAATCAATATAGTGCCAGGTATTTCAATATGAACTGATAGAAGTAATCACTTAATATGAGTAACAAGCCACTGAGTAATCTTTCTATTTCAACAGCTTTGGGAAATGTAAACATCAAAGCTCTGTTGGATGATGCTGCTCAAGAAGAGGGAGGAAAAGTGTTGTTGGATTTTAATGACAGAATTGGTGATAGGATTCAAGTCTTTCTGGAGTAAATAAACTACAAAGTCATGAATGAAGCTGCAAGGTAGAGTTTCTTTTGAATTCTTTACAAAACGAGATAACCTGATTTTGAGTGGTTATCCAAACTTATCACATCTGAACTTCCTAAATTTTACTTTAGGATTCATGTTAGAATTTTGGTTTCGCGTGTTTGACTTAATGATTTGGCTGTTTAACCAAAGTTTCCTTTCAAGCATGTGTTGAGAGTTCTTTTTTTGATACTAAACTAATGCAGGTAACTTCATTATCCGTTTCTATTGAAGAAGTAGTAACTTTCTCCTTCCCTGAATTAGCCGCATGCCTCTCCCATGACCAGATCGGGTTTTATACTGGTGCTCTCTTTCCCAGGGGATCACTGGGAAAAAAAAAAAAAAACAAATATACAGAATAGCCATTGTAATGAAATCTTTAGAGTGCCATGTTATAGTATTTGTACCTAAAACGTAAAGAATTAATTCTTGTTGAATAGTAAATGCAGAACTGATGTAATATAAACAGACAACGACCAAAATGTAAACTACTAGTAGTACTTGATTTCATTGCCTTTATCTCCTTCTAAAAACTTTTCCAAGTCTATGATCATACATTTTCTCCTCAGTTGGCTGTTCTCGTCGCCCCTTCTGTTCATGGGACAAAGAACCCCGACAATAATCAAGAACACGGCCTCCTCCACTAAATGCCGACTCTGAAGTCACGTAGAAATTTGCACACATCGAGAAGATCTCTTGCCATTGTATAGTAAAGATTTAAAATGGCACAAAGCCAAACAACTCCAAGAAAGAAGGCCATCACTACCTTTTTTTGACCAAGTCTACAACAAAAATATCAGATTTTACCTGATACAAATGCTTCAATGTCTTCTAAATCCTGTTCAAAGGACTTTGAAACAATCATCTTAAGGTACGAGAATATCAAGTATATTATTGCTTTTGGGTACAATTTGATTGTGAATGGTACAATTTGGGTCCACAACAACATTGTGGCACATTTAAACTGTTGTGAGATTGTACTTGGAAAGAACTTGCCTTGAGTTTAGTAGGAACCATGACATCATTATCGCGATATCGATCTTACCTGTTTATCAAAATCTTGTGTTATAAAGTAGCATGGATTTAGGTAGGTTGGTTGTAACAGGCTCCATTACTATTAAAAAAATATATATATATTGACAATAATAATAACCTTGGGGTCCAGATTAAGTCATCTTTGATTTGAAGCATTGAAATTAAGAAGTGAGTAGTGAAGTGAACTCCAATTAATCTTCTGACCAATACTTAATCATGCTGCAACCTCAAGAGATGTCCCGATGTACCAAAAACATATTTGAAATGCAAGACTCAAAATTAAATATCATCATTATCCCACCAAGATCATATTAACAACATTCAAGCGAAATGATAATGAAATTGCTCCTCCTCATTTTCTGTTCCTTCTTAACAGCATTTTTAATCATCTTCCCTAAATCATGCCTGCAGGCTGCCGAAATCGAAAATCTGCAGGACACTTGTCCTACTGATCATATGCAATCCGTCTTCATAAATGGTTTGCCTTGCAAGAATCCAGCTACTGTCACAGCTTCTGACTTCAAGTCCTCCTTGCTGAATGAAAAGGGAAAACTAGACGATGTTTTCCGCTCGAGCACGAATTTAGTTACCGCCTCTGAATTTCCAGGCCTCAACACACTTGGTTTATCAACTGCGAGGACTGATTTGGAGGTGGATGGCATGGTACCGCCGCATTCTCATCCAAGATCCTCCGAGATGATCTTTGTAGGCGCCGGCATCGTGAATGTCGGTTTTGTCGATACAAACAACAAATTGTTCCAACAGGTTCTTAGGCCAGGAGATGTGTTCGTGTTCCCAAAAGGGCTTCTACATTATTGTCTGAACAATGGTTTTGAGGATGCTACAATTTATTCAGTTCTGAATAGCCAGAATCCGGGAATTGTCAGCATTTTAGGCTCCAGATTTGCACCTTCTGATGATCGTCATCGTGAATTGATGCAAAAGATAAAAGAAAGATTAGTATCATTTTCGAAATTGGATGCTGAACGTTTGGACAATGTCACTTTGTTCTAAGGTTGTGTGTTTGTACTGGTAATTATTGGCTTGATAAATCTTTTAACTTTAACGCATATACTCAAAATAATCCTTCCAACTTTTTTTTTTAATTTTTAAAAAGAATCATATGGGCAATGTTGCATTTCTCCAAACACAAATTTCAAAAGAGTGATAATCGGGTCATGTTTTTAGTTTTGTAAGGTTTATTGGCGACAACTTCATGTCATATTCTGTTTGAGGTAAAAGTAAAACAGATACTCCCTCCATCCCATAATTATTGTCCACTTTTACTAAAATGAAAGATTTTATTTTATGTCAAATTTAACTATATTTTATCTTAAACAACCGGATATACCCCTACATAAGTAATTGTTTAACCACTAAGATTTTATGGATAATGTTTTTTACTAAGGACAAATGTGTAACTTGGTCCATAAAAAGTCAAATTGGACAATAATTTTGGGACAAAATTTTTTGGGCAAAGTGGACAATAATTATGGGACGGAAGGAGTATATAATTAAATATTTTTGCACTCGTGGAGTGTTGTTTATTGAGTTCATGTGATGTGAGGGAGGTTTTGAACATGTATCGAGATTGATATAATTCTTAATTTTTGTACTCTTTCCATTTTTTTCTTTCTATTTTAAATCAATAGTTTAGCAAGTTAAAATTATTATTCTTTTCTTTCAAAAGAATACGAAAAGATCGACATGCCTAAATTGTCCTCTTGAAAAACAAAAAAAAAAAAAAAGAAAATAAAGAAACCTTATTGCAAACCGAAATGGTCTCCATGTTTGTAGACAATTTTAGGCTAGAAAACATCCCACACAATCTGGTCAAATTGGATCAAATCAACCTGATTCAATGTAGAATTTCGCCGAATTGTAATCCAGTGTTTCCTATAAATTGTAAGGAAAACTTCAACCAACATATCAAACTCAAGTGTCAAGCTTAGTAAATTATTAGCCATGGCATCAACCAACACACCCTTTGCCTATTCCTTTGTCCTTGTGATTTTTTGTATACTCTCCACTGTTCCCAGAACATCTGCCATCAACCATAAAAATGTTAGTTTCTCTCAAAATGACATCAATCTTCTGGAATTCCCACTAAATTTAGAGTACTTTGAAGCTGATTTTTTCTTGTGGGGTGCATTAGGTTTTGGCCTTGACAAAGTTGCACCTCAGCTTACCGGCAACGGTCCAAAGCCGATCGGATGATCAAAGACATCACTCTCCAGTTTGCATTGCAAGAAGTTAGACATTTGAGGTAGATACATAGTATATATATATAATAGTAAAAAATTCTTCTAGATCGCTCTTTATGTAACACTATTCAAATAAAAGAACGTAACAGACTATTCAGAATGCTTGATAAGTATTACACGAAAAGTGAAAAAGCCATGAAATACTTATATTTTGATTGCGCGATTTTTACAGGGCAATCAAGACGACAGTGCCCGGCTTCCCGAGACCGTTGCTCAATCTAACAGCAGAATCATTTGCAACTGTTATCAATGATGCATTAGGGAAAGACTTACATCCACCTTTTAACCCTTACGCCAATGACCTTAACTACCTTATTGCCTCCTACATTATCCCTTACGTAGGTCTCACAGGATATGTCGGCGCCAGTTCAAAGCTCCAAAGTCCAACTGCCAAGAAAGTATGTCAAAATGTTATCTTTACAACTCTTTTTGGTATATTGTCACATTTTTCTACAACACTCTTTGTTACAATTCTCGTATCATTTATAAACAACAGAAATGTATAAAATAACATGCCAAATCTGTAACAAGCGCTATAGAAAGTGTTACAATACTACAACTTGTAGTGCTAATATGTGTGTTTCAGCTGGTGGCAGGGCTATTAGGAGTGGAGTCAGGGCAAGATGCAGTGATAAGAACTCTACTATACGAGATGGCGCGAGAACGAGTTAAACCCTATGGGATCACAGTAGCGGAATTCACCAACAAGATATCAATGCTGAGGGATGATCTTGGACACGCGGGCGTCAAAGACGAAGGGATTTTGGTGAAGCCATTTCAAGGTGCGGAAGGAAAGATCAAAGGGAACGTACTCGCAGGCAACAAAGACTCAGTGGCATTTGATCGAACACCTGAGGAGATACTCAGAATCGTTTATGGAAGTGGATCGGAGTACAAACCAGGTGGTTTTTACCCAAATGGAGGCGATGGTCGGATCGCGAAATCATATCTTAAACAATCTGAATCGGGCAGCTTTGAACCTTAAAGATGTTGAAGTATTTTTCCTTTGTATAGGTAAAAATAGGAGGCAAAAGTCTAAAGCAAAATTAAGATGTGGAAAGCTTTATATTGGTTCATGAAATATTTCACCAAATTCATTGATCAATGAAGAAAACATATAGTTCCTCTGTCCCAAAAAATAATTCACATTGAGTTTTTGAGAATTTTATTAGAAATTATATGAATTTCAAAACTTAATGTGGACGATTTTTCTGGAAAAAAATGAGTGGTATTTTATTCGATGTTATGGATAAGATGGATCTGAATAGAGGATGATATTTATTCTTATGTGAAAATATAGGTATTCGATTGATTCATCAATTTTCAATTCAATCTTATGATTTCAACACCTTTTCGTATTATTACGGATAGGTGATTCCATTCAAGACATAATTATTTTGTAGAAAATAGTTGATCATTGTTGGTTTAGATAGGTGATCTTTTTTAACAGAGTTGACTATTTTCGGGCATTAAGGGAGTAGTGTATTTTGTTTGGTTTTTAAAACTCGTCATCAAATGAATGAGAACGGAAAATAATGAACGCATACCGAACCAGTAACAAACAACATTATGAAAGAAAGAAAGAAAAAAAAAAAAGCAATCCAACAAATTTCACTGTGAAAGGTATTCACTTTAATTACTCATGTTCATGAACAATTGGTTTCTAATTGTTATAAAGAACTCTTTTGATTATGAGATTTATATAACATGGCGAGTTGATAATTTGATGACAAATCCTCGTTATTCTAATATAATTTAATCATCCACGAGATTTGTTCATCTTTTATTTTTTTTTTGGGTTTCATATTCAGATGCAATTTATTTTTCTTTTTTTGATGCAATTTGTTTTGAATACTTTATTTGATTTATTTACACGATAACGGTAAAAACGGTAACATGGAAACAACTGAACTAATCAGCTATCTGGTGGTTGATTTTCTAATTTCATCCTTGTAATTCAAATGTATGCGTTTGCTTTGCCAGTTTGACATTTGATGCGCAGATTTTAATTAATTTTCAGATTTTGAAGCTAGTTAATGTTGTTTAGTTTGGAACTCTGAATCGTCGAAATGGACAAACAAATCTCAAGAACTTCGTGACTTCGTGTCTATACCTATAAGAGGGAAAAATAGGAAAATAATAACAATCACCCGGGTGTAGTTGGTAAGGTGTACCTTATGAGAATGTGTAATACACTTTTTTGTTACACAAGTGGAGTTTTTAGTCTAGATTTCAAGATACCACACTCACATTAAATTCTTTAAATTTTATTCCATTTCCTTAGCATACGTTTAATTTCAAATTGATATTTTTTTTAATGCTTATCCTATTAGCTTCTATATTATTTTATTTCATAAGATTTTTTTTAAATGATGAATTTTATTTTTGGTAAAATTGGATATGTGTGCGAGTAAATTTATGGATAAGTAACGATATTCACAAAGGTGAATATCGATGCAAATCTTGATGAATAATGATCCTTCCTAGATGAATAATAATACTAAAATAATGAATATATGTAGTTTTTGCAAGATGAATAATTGTATTTTAGTAATTGAATAATATATCGTTAGTTGATGAATAATGCACAACAGAATAAATTACTTTGATGAAGAAAACTAACAAAAGTATATTTTACAATGAGTTAATGTCAGCAACTACGCTAACAAAATTCTAATTATGTAGTATAGTATATCAACATTAAATAAGAAAACTAGTCATTGTTTTTAATATATAAGGTCTTCAAGGATCCGCTGATACTCGATACGTTTGTTGTTTGATTTCAGCAACTCTGCCAAATATTTGATTCGCGACCGATCGAGTTCATTTTGATGAGCATTTTTTGCCGCTCATCAAACAAAAACAACATTACAATACGTGAGATTTCACATTCAATCAAAACTCTGTTAATCATCAATAACAAGGCTATTAAAGATAAATAATCATCTTTAAAATGATGAATAACCATTAAACTATAGAACATGTCAGGTTAATATGATGAATAACCATTACATACTAAATGAATTACTATTTCACCAATGATGAATAACTTGACAGTATGGTGAATTATCACGTTTTACTTATTAAAATCAGAAGATGTAGTGTATTTGGATCATAAATTCGTTAGGAGGAATACTAATAGTTTTAATGATGAATAACTATATCTATGTATATGCATAGGTCATTTGAACAATACGTTGAAAATACAAATAGATGAATAACTAAATATTATGGATAAATACGACCTTAATATACATGTTCTATTTATCCACTCAGATGAATAACAATTAACAAAAAAAAAAAAAAAAACAATCGCATAACCAATTACTATGATGAATAACTCTTTATTATCGATGAATAATGGCAGGGTAATTGCTGAATAATGGACAGATTTAGAAAACCCTTCCAAAATCAACAACCAATGGATGAACAAATCTAATAAATTAGTGAACCACCATTTATGATTGAATGTAGAGACCTTAGATCTATATAACCTAACCAAAAAACTAAATATGAATAACCAGCGAATAACACAATTATTATGATGAATCTGCTAGTTTCAAGGATGAATATTGAATACGAACTAATGAATAATACCCAGATCTATTAGTCTTTTCCCAAACCAATAACAGAACAATGAAGAAAACTTAAAAATTAATGAACAAAATTCTATAATTGGATGCACATACCTTATATCTACATAACTCAATAAAAAAAAACACATCAATTGTTGAATAGATTAAAACCCAATCATAAACCTCTGGTGATTAACAAAATCTATTTTTTTTTTCTTTTTTGCAACAGATCTAAATCTATAAACCTCATACAATTCATCGAACGAGTTAAAATTCTCAAAAAATAAAATTCACCGGAGAAAATACAAAATAGATGAATAATGTCAAATCTTACCGTAATTCTCATATTCAGCAGCGTATATTGCAACCAAATTCACGTGATTTGATGCACAATCGAATTCCGCCTTCAAAAATACCGCCGACAAGGGGTTTCCATACCAAATCGCAGCAGAGAATATTTCATTTTTTAGATTTTATGTTTGACACGTGTTTGGATTAGAATAGGAAGTTGAATGGATATGATTAACGATGGCTAAAAATTAAGAGAGATATTAGAAAATTAAAAATTTAAATTTTTTTTAATCCTCTTTTTGAGAGCGTGGTATCCACTCTAGGTACATTTTATAAGGTATAAAATGTACCTAGGTGCTCTATATTATAACTGGGAAAAATAAGTATGAAAATAACTATCAAAATCTAAGACGGTTACATGATTTACAAAACATAAAAATAACTGGACACAACGCTATGTTTGATGCTATGATCATTATGTATGTGTATTTCGATTAACTACAATTATGTGAATTTAAAATTTTAATCTACGGAATCCATGTCTACTCGACTTGAACCAACCATATGAATCCAAATTATTTTTGGGGAGGACTTTAAATCAAGTTTCTAGTGATGATGGAATATCAAAAGATTTGATAAATTCATCAATTTCAATTTCTTCGCTCTTGGGCTGAAAAGCTTATTACTACTCCCAAAACATGATTCTCATTTACTAATTATGTATAGCTGACTTCACTTTAAGGTAGAAAATTGCTAGCAGAAATTTCTTTTACTTGGTAAACCAAATAGAGTACAAAGATACATTACTGTTTCCACGAATAGACTTTTCACAAAAATAGAAATAAATCAGCAGTGGAGAGGAAAAAAGAAGAAAGAATTGGTATGTCATTTTATTGTTTTGTTTGGCAAAAAGGATTACAAACAAAGTCACAAAATTCATATCAAAATCGGCAAGTAAAAGAGGATACCTGAGAAAGGTAATCCTCATCAGTATACATTTCACATCTCTATATAGTAGGACCAGCAGACCTACCAGATCTTTGTTACCCAAAAAATCAATAATAACAAATTGTAAAATGATCTAACAAAACAGAGGGAAGGAACAACAACATTATGTTACAATATGCACTATCAAGAAATGCTACAAAACTACCGAGACTTCATAACTCCAAATGCAGTTTCCAGAACTAGAGTTTTTCCGTTCATGTACCTTTGATCTCGTAGCACAGCTCGCTTTTATACTATACCCCTATCTCATGCAATTATTAGCAAAGAATTGTGCATCAGAGATCAACGGTAGCCACCACCATATGGTTGTTGACCGTAGTTGCCCATTCCCATCATAGGATTATAACCTCCAGGCATCGCAGATCCGGGAGGAAATCCCATTGGCCGCTGCATCGGGCCACCTTGCCCAATACCCATGTTCATTCCCATGCCCATATTTTGGTTCATATTCATTCCCATGCCCATATTTGGGTTCATATTCATTCCCATACCACCCATCGGCTGATTCATAGATGGATAACCTCCCATTCCCATGCCTTGACCTGGAGCACCGCCTATTCCCATGCCTGAACCTACCATTGGATTGGGTGGTGGCCTAATTGCACCAGCACCAGCACGCCCGATACCAGAACCCGAACCCATTGCTTTGCCCATGGTAACATTTGACACTGTGGGCGTATTTGTAGGTTTTTCCAATCTTTTCTCCTTCCGATTTATTGCATCAAAATCAACTCCAATATCAGCTAAAGGATTAGTCTTAGCTGCAAAATTGAAAAAAATAATTAATTAAAGTATGAGACCTCTAGGTAAATGAAAAAAAGGCAGCATTATTTAAGGAACCAACGCAAGTAGTGAGAACTTACGCCCAGAAATATTCAAATTGACTAGTCCACGACTGAGAGTATCGGTCCAAACAGTTGACTTGGTCTCAAATTTATCTTTTGCCGGTGGAGGCGCTGGAACAAGTGATCCAGTTGATACTGAAACTGAAGCTTGTGAGACCAATGGGGCATTTGATCTCATTTGTGAAGGTGGAGAAGCAGAACCAGTTGGTGAAAAGTAGCTCCCAGTGTTCTGCTGTGCTGATGGGCCTACCGAAAGTTGAGAAGTCATCTGTGGCACAGCAGGGGCTGAAGATGCCATCTGTTGGTTATAACTCCCATAGAAGCCAGGGTTTTGTGGCATGGACTGAGACATGAAAGAGCCCTGCTGACCAGGAACAGGTGTAGGTTGACCATTTGGAGCAGTTTGGGGCACAAAATTTGTCTGGGGTACATGTTGACCAGATTGCATGGGGAAATTATTCTGCATTGAGGATTGGACAGATTGAGAAGGGAAATTTGTGTGATCCGCAACGTGCACAGATTGAGTTGGGAAATTTGCTTGCTGCATTGAACTGTTTTGAGATGGGAAAGCCATATGTGTCGTTGATTGGACACTTTGAGGTGGAGAACCTGCACCCAGCGAAGGATGTCCATTTGGAGCTGCATACAGTGTCTGTGAATTTGCAGGAGGTTGAGGACCAGTAGGTGGGAGAATATCTGCTAATATGTCAATATCCGAGAGAGGGGAGGACTCATGTGTAGAATACTGGATGTTTGCAGCAGAAGGATTAGCACCAGAAGAGGCATTAGAAGTCTCTCCAAAAGAAGAAACAGGCTCAGTCTTCTGTGGAACAAATTGAGGTGGGTTTGGATTTGCAACAGTCTGTGCAGTAGGGAAGTCTTCAGTAGTAGCAACAGCCTTAAAAGGCCCATCACCAAATGGATCATCAAATGCCTGGAAATAAGGTACTTGGTGAGACTCGGGAAAAATAACAAACATATAGCTGACATGGAATGTCAAAAATAATCCTCAGTACAGGTCTGTTCTTCCCTTTTCTGCTAAATTCAAGTAATCCAAGGAAATTCCCTAGTAACATTGGCCAATCTAAACTAGCTAAGGAATCACCAATATAAAAAAAATATGACTCTCCTGGCAGTTCCCTGAACCAATTCCTTTAATGGTGCTTTGCTAAAAGCGAACTAAGCTAGATCTTAACCAAACCGGACCCGAAACAACTCAGCAAATTGAAAAATGAAGAATAAAAGCACTCAAAGATTTGACAATGAAAAATAAACCTGATTAGAGTACGAGGATGCTGAAGCAGCTGTAAAAGAGGGTCCTGTGCTGGCACTTGTTTGGACATCTTCAGAGGCTGCAGGATATGCAGTAGTAGGCACAATAGCCAGTGAGTCAGATAAAGCACCAAGTAGATCCATCTCTGCACTGTTAGTAGACGCTGGTGGGATACTCCCAGTACTAGCTGGGGCAGCCACATTTGAAGTGGTCGTAGCTGTTTAAGAAAAAAACATATGCCAAGTTCAACCCTCTTCTTATCCGGAGATGCAGTGGGTTGGAATAAACTTTAAAATTTAATGAAACTAATATACGTCATAATTTCTTGTTATTCAAAATTTGAATATCAGTTATACCATCTTCACAAACAATATTATCTGTGAAACTTACGCTAGTTTGTTTAACAGTAACAAGGAAACTAATTGACAGCATTAGACATTTGACAGAAAATTGGTTCAGGTTAAAACTGTCAGATGTTATTAAGCATCGCAAATGAGACAAAAAAGAACAAATTAAAGTTATAACGATCATAGAAAAGAGACCCAGTTCTTCTCCACATTTTCAAAGATATTTCCCCACATAACTTCCTCTTTTTGAAGCTACGAGGCCAGCCAGGAAAACCAAACCATCTTTAGAACTATGGAATAATGAGAAGAAAAAGCTTAAGAGGTAGTGCCGGCATGCTATGTCATCATTGCAATCTAGTTAACCACAAAAAGATCAAAGATAAAAGCCATATGCTCTATAATGGAGAACCCAGTTCTTCCCCCACAAACATTTTCAAAGCCACAGATAACTTTCTATCCTTGAAGCTACGAGGCCAGCCGCGAAAACCAAATAGTCTTTGAATCATGAAATAATGAGTAAGAAAAAGTTCATAGTGATGACATACTAATGTAATGTGTTTCATTACAATCTAGCATTAAGGCGAATAGTTGTTTCTAGTTGACCACAAATTAAGAACAAGATAAAAGTCCTATGTTCTACAATAATGGCTTTTATTCCCCAAAACTTACATTGTCAGGTTAATTTTGTTTCCACAAGTGCAAAGAAAAGAGAAATTTGCAAATAATCATTCTTCACGTTAAGTTCTATTTAGCTTTCTGTGAAGCTCTTTTCAATGATATCTTTTGATAATTTGAAAAGACAATTTAAGGATTCAAATTTAGAAATCGACAAGGCATTTGTTCAGTGCAGTCAAATGAGAACAGTGTCATATCAGCCAAAATTGTTAGAATTTCACTATCTTTCAGGGAAATAGAACACTTGAAACTTGGTAGATCAATGAGACAACTACAGACAATAACAAACAGCTTACACGAAAAGGAACCACGCGGATCAAACTCATCAAAGCCATCAACTTCTTTCTCATCAGAAAACGGTGGTGGTGGAGGTGAAGCAGCTTCGGGCTGTGAAGGATGAGCATTCGGTGATTGACTCGGAGCAACAGTTGCAGTTGGAGAAGAAGATTTTGCAGCAGCTCCTGAAGGTATATCTCCATCCCTTTTTATACACACTATTAGAACCATAGCAGCTGTCAACTTCCAGTAAACAACGGGGAAAAAGAAAGCTACCTGTCACTATAAGTGGGACTTCGCCCAGCACTAACAGCCTCCTCGTAACTAGGAGGAGCACCAAGGTTAGGCTCAGAATATTTCCTCTCCAGATTCCGGCCAGCATAACTGTTTTTCACATACCATCAAAGAAACATGTGAATTAGCTTTGCACAAAATGATTGCCTACTACTTACGAGCACCATTTCCTCTTAGAGATTATTTTTGTTGACATCATTACCTTCCATCTTGTGATTGATCATCTGTCCGGGCACCATTTCCTCTACTGCCAAAAGAGTCTTAAGTTATTTATTTATAGATTAGAAACAAATGAAAGAAAGGTGAAACAAAAATATGAAACTAACATTAACTTTCGCCAAATACAGTTAAAATAATAATAATGAACAAAATTAGAGTAATTCTTATATTCACCAGCAATTAAAATGCAAAAAGAAAAAAAGACGTATTCCTCCTAGAACACAAAATAAGTCAAGTTTAGATGTGCATAAAAGAAAATTTAGATTGGATTCAGCTACCAACAAACATGAAAATGCTAGGAAATCATATTCCTTGACATGAAAAGAAAAAGAAATTATGAGCCATAAAAAGACATCAGGCCCAATAATATAGTAATTACACCATATATGTGACAGTTCTGCCTAGACAAGTATGAATTCGCTCTACAAAATTCTGCATCCAACAGGGAAAAGGGTGCCAAGAAACTATTTGAAGGTGTATTCTTGAGAATAATCAGTAAATGCTCCTTCCAAAGGTGTTGGAAGAAACAACAGTCACATTAATAAAGAAAATTATAGCGTTAACAAACCTGGAAGAATACTGGCCATCATCTTCATAAGAACGGTCTCGATCACGGTCAGAGCTTCTACTTCTTGAACCATACTGATAATCATCAACACTTCTGCTTCTTCCACGATAGTCATCATCCCTGTAGCCATCTCGGGCGTACCGGTCTTCATCTCGGTTATACCTATCCCCGTCACGACCATATGAATCTCCATACCTACCATATCTGTCATCATCCCTAGAACCCCATTCTCTCTCTCTGCCATAACCATTTCGGTCTTCATCTCTTCCTCCATACCGTCCATCATAACGATCATCATCATAACCACTCGAATATGAACCAGGCCTATACATACCTCCAGCTGCAGTGTTTCGATACCTAGTAAAGGCCAAAATATTTAGATTCAAATTTTCCTAAAGGCAAAATGGAATGTAATTGAGCTGTACAAAAGTTTTACATCTTCCACTTAGTTAAGAAACTTGCTCGGATAAGAGCAGTACAAAATTATTATGCATATGCGAGTACATATGCATAAAATACTAACAACATTTTGTTCATGAGTTTCTCAAGGAGAATGCTCTAAGCTCTAAACATGTGCACTAAATGATTCCAGGGACACTATTAACCAAAAGCTTAAACAACAGACAGCTCATGGAAATGACTATACAGAGCCCAAAAAACAAAAGCTAGTATCAAAAATCTGTCCAGTGCAACCAACCAATAATATACACTTACTTGTCTCTGTTTGCAGCAGCCTTTTGACGAACTTCTTGTATTCTATCTTTGTCATTCACAAGCACCACAAGACTCTGAGATTTCTTCCTGACATTGCTCCCCTGATCCCTTCCGCTGGAATCAATATATTGAAAATCGGACAGTGTCTATTACAAGAAATAAAATGGATCAGAGACGTGTTACTGATACAGCAGGCTATAAGGTGGATAGGGCTATGAAGCAGAAGAGAGTCACCTGTATTTGGTACGCATGTTCTCTGATCTCATCAATCACGCGTTCAGACCCATGGGCAACCATGTATTCCAATACAGTTAAAGCCTGAAAATGCAATCTATGTGTTAAAGGGCTATAGACCCAAAGAGGAACCAAGCACTAGGCTAAAATAACATACAAGAACATAATGAAGTAGTACCAAATACAAATTTCGGGGAAAAACATATACTGAACACATAGAAATGCAGAATAGCAAACAGAGAAAACTTTTATTGATAACCAAAAGCTAAAGAACTAGATGACAGTCACAAACCTTGTACACATGCCGCCAATTTTTCCCTGTATCATTGACACGCTTCCAGATGACTGACATAATCATCTGGTACTCGTGACTGCAAGAAAGGAAAAATTTGTAAATACTGATATCTACATAAGAATCTTAAATGTACCAAAGAACCACCAAAAGAAAAAGGAAAAAAAAGAGCAACAAGACTGAGAACTAACTAGTTTCTCGAAGCCTGAGCGATATCAGCAAGAAGTGTTCCATGAGGACCCCATGGCTCATTGCTGGTAGCATCAAGAACCTGAAAGGTACATATAGCCAAAGAAAAGTGAAATTAAAAAACTATTGTAACGAGTTCAAAAGTCAACCAGGTCACTCATATTTCTATAAAAAAAGGTATTCCCAAACGTTCCTGAGCAAATACCAGGAACAATATAGGCCTACAATTTTCAAAATACAAAGAAAATAAAAAGAAGAAAGCAAAAACTCTTTCCCTGATGTGTATATTTAAATATGTCCCAAATAGAAATGATGCAACTTAAAGGTATAAGATCCAGCAAAGACGAAAAAGCAATAATATGATTTACACAAGCGGCCAATTTAGTATTTCAGTTAAAAAGGAATGAACAAGACAACTTTCTTTCCAGAAGCTCAAAAATTCTAAACATATTAAGCTCCGTTGCAGCTTCTAAATCCAAGCAAAAAGACATAGACTGCCTGCTTGATACTTCTCCCATAGATTATGTCTAGTCAGATAAAGGTTTACTTGTTGCTATTGTTATTGTTCATGTTAGATGCTTCTACAATCATAACAACCTAGTGATTCAAGATGCTTCTACAATCATAACAAACTACTCAACAGAAGCACCAGATCCATTCACAAAAAAAAAAAGTGAAATTACCTTCTGTTCAATTGAAGGTACTTTAAGAACCTTTTTGTTCACCTCTCTTTTACTGCAATAAACGAGTAAAAAGAGTAGAGCAATTAGCAAGCTCATTAAAACAAATGTATGGAAACAATAGAATAACAAAAACTTTGTAGGATTACACTAACTGACACTTAGGAAACAGGCCATGAATTGTTTAATCAATGATACAGCCCATCTTTCAATTTAATAAACTTAGTTTGAAAATAACAAAAACTAATAACACTTACATGTCCCGGACAGTTTGACCAAAGGCTTTCTTCATTTTCACTTTGCCTTAGGACACCAAATCCTTTACTTAAACAAAGCTCAGATACTTTCCCTGCATTTCACAAAAGAAGATCAGTTAAACTATGGACAAATGCAAATCAAAAAGAGTTCTGCAGAATGATTCATAGAAAATATTTTCTATTGAGCACATAAGATCATATAATTGGAAAAATATGTCCACAGCTAAGCCTAATCATTTCTCCGGCATGCGAAAAAGGATCAAATATAAAGTTAAAGTAGAAACAGAGAACTTCTCGGAGTACTCAAACAAAGACAGAGAATCAAAACCCCCCTTCCTCCCCGACTGCCCAACCACTACGCGTTGGAATCAGGTTACCTAACTAAAATTTTTTATTGAACGTTGAAAAGTCAATCAGATTGATCAAGTCCAAGTTTTGAATTACATTTTGAAGTCAAGAAATTCATTTTCAAAGCAAAATATAAAATTATTCTCACCACTTTCATTGATCATCTAACTATGTATTAAATCATGAAAACCGACAGAAATGAATAATATCATCATTCCCAGAATCAGACTACTATCATACGGCAAGAAACGCATTAGATCACAATTACCATAAATGCGAAAGTAAGAAATCAACTCATCAAAGTCGCCATAAAAAATGCACATCTTCCACGCCAAATTCGCAACATTACAAGAATAACTATGCTTCCCTTCTATGGATGAACATAAATTGATGTAAAATTAAATGGATCTTGAAAAAATCGGTAAAGGGTTCCAGAAAACAATGAAACAAACAATCTAAATCGACGATCTAAATAACAATCCCAATTGATCAAAAAGACAGTAAAACAACAAGAGAAAAAAAAAAATTGAACCTGACCCTGGTGCAGGTTTCCTGTAGCTCTTTCTCAATCTGAGAAATTTTCAGATCTGATAGAGGATGAATAGTGAATATTGAGAAAGAGAGAGAGAGAAGGAATATTAGCTCCTTAATCTGGACGGGGAAAGTGTTTGAAAAGGAGCTGAATGAAAAATTCTTGGTGTTGAAAATGGGAATAATAAAATTTGGGGGAGAGAGGGAGAGAGAGAAAGAAAAGGGTCCGGTCTGGGTGGGGGGTGAGGAGGCAGACAGCGCACCGTTTACGTAGGAATTATGCGACAATTATTTGATTTTGGTTTATTCTAGTTCTAGTTTATATTTACTTATTACGTATTTATTTATTTTGATGATGAGAAATATCAAAAATGTGCTGTAATTTTCAATTTATGTGAAAAAAAATTACTATCTCTATCTCAAAAAAATAGTCCACGTGGAATTTGGTGATTTGTATTATTTTTAATGTATATTTTAAAAATTAATGTAAACTATTTTTTTTCCTTTTTGAAAGAAGGAGTAGTTCATACTGATGCAGTATAGAAGTGTAAATGTTATTTAGGTAAGTACAAACATAAAACTTTTAGAACAATAAATTAAATAATCATCTTTTAATTTCAAATTAGCCCTCAAATAAAGCATATCTACCGATTGATTAAATTTTAATCCTACAATATAATTCTAGATGGTTTCTTTGAAATCAAGGTGACATCACAATTATAGAAGGGTACAACTCTATGAAACAAAACTCTATTAAATTTTCTCTTTTTCTTTTCTCAAGCGATTTTTGATTTGCTTTTATCAAAAAGGTCATCAATAGGGCTGTCGTGAATTGGGAAATATTCTCGCACTCTTAATTATAGCTACAGGATTCAAATATTGCCATGAGCATGGAGCAATATTTAATCTTTTTGCAAGGTCCCCCACCCATCAAGGTGTCTGTCATGAGCGACTGTTGTCACAGTGGACATTCCGCAACATATTAAAAAAAATCAAAAAAAAAATGAAGAAGAAGAAGAAAAAGACCAAACTTACTTCAAACGCTACCTTTCATCACTAATTATTATTATTATAATTATTCTGTGATGATGATGAAAAGGAGATTTTTCTCTAAATATTGCTACATTAATGCAACATTAAATCAACTTGTACAAAAAATGCATTCTTCCCAAACTAGTTAATTAAAAATTTGAAACTTCATCTTTAAGTCCCATACAATTAAAGATTATATTGATGAATTAGTAATTGAAACCACAAGTTTTTAAATTGATACATGTAATTTCTACTTCACAAGTTTGAAAAAAAAAAATTGGAAACAAGTGATGAAGGTGAAAAGTTTTCATTCAACATCTACCATTGTTTGTATGACAGGAGAATTGCCCATCTGACCTAAATTTTCACCGTCATCGCTAATCATACTTTATAGATTTTTAATTAGTTTGTATGACAGGATTTTTGGTTAGTCTTTTTAACAATAACAAATTTATAATTTTAAAAATTATAAAAATAACCTCTAAAAATATATTAAAATAACAAAACAACCTCTTTTTACTTTTTTATTTATTTTTTTTCTATTTTATTCTATTAATGATTACTGACTTTCATAACCATAAAAATATAATATATGATGTGACATCCCGCACAAATTGACTCGATTAAAAAGGCAAAATACGAAATGTCAAATACACTAGAGTCATTTATTTAAACCAAATTCCAAACATCTGCGGAAAAGGTTTTCAACTAAATAAATTCTCGTGTAAAACATTATACGTCCAACCTAGGAAACAAATATCAATGTCTTTTCTAGAAAACCACTATGGAAAATATTCGGCTCAAAACACGCACGAGCGCAACTTGCTGGAAGCCCTTATTCAACGTACTAACTCTTAATCTGCAAGGAGTGGAAGGGGGGTAAGCTGGATAGCTTGTGAGAAAACCAAACGGGTTTGCACTCGCCAATCATACAATTTCAAATAAATATATATAGACAATGTATATATATATATATATATAAGTATGTAAATAGCATTTCCAAAGTATAAACTTATATAACAAGTAATCAAATCCCACAGTTCCAACAACATATTACACATCAAGCAAACATTGTAAGTAGTTCAAATATAACACTTTGAGTTTTAACACGGACGAAACGGCTCTCGTGTACTAGCTATCACGGTCAGAACGTCTCATGTGTGACATTCAATGGAGAACAAAGCCTAATCATTCAAATGATGTTAGTACAACACGGACGGAATGGCTCACGTATTAATAGAAAATCAAACGGCCGAAACGTCTCACGCATTGACCCACAAATAGCACTACAAGTAGACCCATTGACCTAAAGGCCCCGGTCTTAACAAGATAACGAGTAGCCTACTGTCTGAGGACTACTGACCAAATAAGAGCAAGTAACAGTTATGGCACACCATCCCAAGATCAGTGTCCGAACAAGTACAATGGTGATAACTCATATAAGAGCCGAACAACCCTTGTGTAACGATCCAGAAATTTTGATTCTTCTAGACAATGTTAAAGAGGTAATCTCATTATAATGTAAATATTACTTATGTTTTATTAATTAACATTCGGTATTTTACGAGTTACGTAGAGTTAAATGTAGGAGATAAAATATAAATAAATATAAATGCATAATGGATAAACCATAGTAATTAGATTAAGCTTAGCAGGTATACATTAGAAGAAACCTTTTTAACACTTGAGTTTATCGTCAGTAAAATAATTTATTTTTGAGAAGATAATTACGAACCTCTCTATATAATCTCAGCTAGTTCATGTAGAAGAACACCCTTTTTTCCCATTCACCATAAAGAAAAAAAAAATTTACTCTAAGAATCCAAGAGTGCAAGGGTCGTAGTTCATGATAGTTCGAAGGGTAATCTCTTGAGTTAGAACCTTTCTTCCTTTCTCCTAAATAGCTTACTATATTGGTTTCTTTTTAAATCCTATAGCCTCGTGTTACAGGTTTAGATTGAAGTAAGAAGTTTGATCAAGGTGAGGAGACGATTTTCATTTTCGAAACGGGTTTTTCTAAACCCTTACTTTCTCATTTATTTTAAAAGTTATATCTATTAGTATCGCATGCGTGCTTGGAATTTTCTGCTAATTTTGCCATTGTTTTGCTGCTTGAATCTTTTTTGGAATGTATTTCTTGAGATTGATATGAAGTAATGACTGACATGTACATTTCACGTGAAAGTATAAGTGTGTTACCTTCGGTTTCGGCAATTTTCGATGGTTGTGATGATGTTTTTGGCAGATTGTTTCTTATTATTGATTGAGGTTTTTAATGAATTATTTTTATAGAATCTCTCTTTGTTGATCATCATTGATATTGTAATTTGCAGATTGTTAAAAGAAATTTTTGAATAGGTCAGCAAGTGATTTTAAATTGATAAGTCAAAACTGTTTATGAAATTTCCAGAATAGATGTTGTGTCCTTAGATGCTTTGTTCGTTCTGTTTAAAACATCTTTTTCACTAATTTCTTTTCATAAATCTACTTCTTAGGTTGTAAGGTAGATGACAGTTTTTACGGAATGCAAAACGGAGTTGTACTTAGTTGTAAAAATGGTTTTTAAGATGGATATGAAGTTCTGAAATTTCAGAGTCGATGTTTTGTCGACTGAATTTGAGTCTGATATGATCTTCTTGAAAATTAATCTTTTTGGTTGAATTCTTTTTGTAGACTTTTTCTCCTCTTGATAAGGTGTCTATCAGTTTTTACGGAGTATAAAACGGAGTTTTATTTAGCCCTGGAAGTGATTTTGAAGTCAAGCTTGTTAAATTTCAAGATTGGAGTCCTGTCGACTGAATTTTAATCTGATCTGATCTTCTTGAAAAGTAACCTTTTGGATTGATTTCTTTTTGTGATTCTTTGCCTCCCTCAATAAGGAGTATATCAAACTTTACGGATCTTAAAACGGAGTTGTGGTTGATTTTAAATTTGAGTTTAAAGTGACTGTTAAATTCTGATATTCTGCTGAATGTGACTTTTCGTTTTTGGCAGCCGGTTTATTTTCTTTTATTATTATTCAGTTTGAAAAACCCTTTGATTCATTTCTTTTCTACTGAAGTCTTTCATTCAACTAAGAGATGTTTAATGGTGTTGCTGGTTTTTGAAAAGTGTTTCATTGAGTTCTCTCGGAAGGGAGATAAAAGAAAGATATGACAAGCAACATTTTTAACATTAAGTCATAACATAACCGGACTTGTTTTAGTTCTTGTATACAATTTAAATCTTTGTTAGCAACTTTTAAAAACCTGATTAAACATTTTTATTTAGTTTGCCAATGTTTATATCTAACCTGTATGAAGTCAAACCATGTGATTGGTAAGACTCAAGGATACTTATTCGGCTCTTATATGAGTTACCACCATTGTACTTGTTTGGACACTGATCTCGGGATGGTGTGCCACAACCGTTACTCGCTCTTATTCGGTCACCAGTCCTCAGACAGTAGACCACTTGTTATCTTGTTAAGACCGGGGTCTTAGGTCAATGGGTCTACTTGTAGTGCAATTTTGTGGGTCAATGCGTGAGACGTTTCGGTCGTTTGATTTTCTATTAATAAATGAGCCGTTCCGTCCGTGTTGTACTGAAATCATTTGAATGATTAGGCTTTGTTCCTCATTAAATGTCACACGTGAGACGTCCCGACCGTGATAGCCAGCACACGAGAGTCGTTTCGTCCGTGTTAAAACTCAAAGTGTTATATTTGAACCACTTACAATGTTTGCTTGATCTATGATATGTTGTTGGAACTGTGGGATTTGTTTTACCTGTTAATATAAGGTTATACTTTGGAAATGTGATTTACATACGTATATATACATACATTGTCTATATATGTTTATTTGAAATTGTATGCTTGGCGGGTGCAAACCCTTTTGGTTTTCTCACAAGCTATCCAGTTTACCCCCTTCCACTCCTCGCAGATTAAGAGTTAGTATGTTGAATAAGGGCTTCCAGCAAGATGCACTCGTGCGTGTTTTGAGCCGAATATTTTTTATTGTGGTTTTCTAGAAAAGACATTGATATTTGTTTCCTAGGTTGGACATGTAGTGTTTTACACGCGAATTTATTTAGTTGAAAACGTTTTCCACAGATGTTTGGAATTTGGTTTAAATGAATGACTCTAGTGTATTTGACATTTCGCATTTTGCCTTTTCAATCGAGTCAATTTGTGCAGGATGTCACAGTTGGTATCAGAGCGTAAGATCCAACGGGTAGAACTACCATATTCTTGAAACTTCAATGAGGAGTTGCTTTAGAAATTTAACTAAACTTAGAAGGAATCAGGACAACTAAAACATTTGAACTTAGATTATTTGGAATCGTTTTAACTTGGAAAACTTTTAAGTACTAATGACACCTTTGGATGTTGTAGAGGAGACATCATGGATAAGGGAAAGTCGATCTCATACGGTGAGGAAGGCCATAACCCAGGTGTTGCTCAAACCATGCGGGCATGGCAGACCAGTCCTATGTTCCCTAACCTCATTCCCATAGTCTATAGGCTGCACAAAGGTGGACCTCAAGTGGCTTACAGACCTCAAGAATGTGGATGTCATTGTGCTCGGCATTTTTCCGTCCCGAATGAAGTGGTTTTTAACATCCAAGTTGAGAAGGCTTGGGTCAAGGAGAGCTTGGACAAATCCAAAGGGAGACTTCGTGAGCTTGAGGCAACTGTGATTAACCATAAGTGTCTCGAGGGGGATCTATACATGAAGATTTGGGAGTTGAACAAGAAAGTCAAACAATTGGAGGCCAAGGACGGTCTGGCCGAAGGACGAGTGAATCAACACAAATCCAAATTGGAAAGCTTTAAGATGAAATATGATGGACTGATTCAGGACATGCAAGAAACGGTGGGGAACCTAGAAAAAGAAAATCTGACCTCTTTAAGGACAAGGTTCTTAACCACCTTGCTTACTTGAAAGCTTAGCATCCAAAACAAATAGAGGTCATTGAGAAAAACTCAAATTCCGAGGATGAAGAATCTGGAGATGATATCAGAAATGATGAGTACGGAGACCTAACCATGGAAGAGAATGAAGAAGAAGATGAAGACATTGAAGAGGACCATCCCGTGAGTGGCTAAAGAGAAGATTACACACAATAGTGATAAATAATCTCATCCATTTAATTACTTTGTAGTAGGATTCATAATAATAGGATTAATAAGGGCTTAGTAGGTTCATAGGACGCTTCTTTTGCAATGACTTCATTTTTATTTTTATTTTCTTTCGGCAATGTTGGGATGTTATCTTGAAAAGTATTTTACAAATGGATGAGTTCATTTATTCTCCTTGAATTCTTTGCCTTTGAATTTTAATTAACAGCTAATAGGATTTAACAAATTATAGTAACGGAAAAATTCTCAAGAATTTTTCTTGACTTATATGGTTAGGCCTCGTGGAAAGAAAGGCTCAATAACCGCTTCGGGGACACGACCGAAAATGAACCATTACCGAACGAAGGAGGAAGTGCAATTCCGCAGATAGCAGCAGCTGTGCAAACTATGGCTCAAGCAATGCAACAGCTGGCAACCTATGACCCACTCGGTGGACAGTCGAATCCTCAACAGAATGAGACGGAAGACCGAGCTTTGGATAGGTTTTGAAGTTTCGTCCGCCTTGTTACAACGGTGGACTTGACACTGAGAAAACTAAGACATGGCTTGAAATCCTGGAGGATATCTATGGAGTTTTGAACTATACTGAAGAAAGAAAGGTGAGGTTTGCTGCATTTTAACTCGAAGGGATGGCTTGGGACTAGTGGGAGTTGCTTAATTCGGAATGGACAGCAAATCAAATGCCTTATACTTGGAACAATTTTGCAACTGCCTTGAAAGAGAAGTTCATTCCGCAGGTGGTCAGAGATCGAAAGGAAGCTGAATTCATTGGACTTAAACAAGGCAGTAAGACGGTCATGGAATGTGAAGCACTATTTTCGAAATTGGCCAAGTATGCACCGGAGGTGGTTGATGCTGAGGAGAAACGAAAGAAGAGATTTTGGAAGGACTTAAAAGTTGAAATAAGGAATGCTTTGTTGGTTGTTAAACCAGCCTCATATGCGGATGTAGTTGAGAGAGCACAAAAGGCAGAGGAGTCGTAGAATGAACTCCTTGGTTTTTAAGCAAAGAAACCAACTGGTCCTAAGTCCTAGTTACAACCTAGAGCCGACATTGTCAAGGACTCGGCAGAAAAATGGAGAGTGACAGAGATGAGGAAGACATTGGGAACTATGTCCAAGGTTCCATGCTGTTTTTGCAAAAAAACCTAGTCACCGTGAGGAGGAATGCTGGTTGAAGGCTAAGAAGTGTCTCCGATGTGGAAGTGAAGATCATCACATCCAAAAATTGTCCAAAAATGCAGGGAGCCACGGGAACAACTTCAAAGGACACACAAAGTGGGGTCGATAAACCAAAAGTTGCCGCAAGAGTGTTTGCGTTGGAGCATCAGGAGGTGAATTCAGACACTCAAGTGGTGGAAGGTATGTTATATATTATTGATAAAGTTGCTTCAGTGTTAATTGACCCTGGATCAACCCATTCTTTTGTTACTCCCACTTTTTTGGATAAGGTTACAGAGAAACCTACTAGGTTACCATACCATCTAGAAGTAACTACACCTACAACGCATCTTGCCTTATACACATACGTTATGTACCCTGATTGTCCGATAGAAATTTAGGGGAAGACCTATCTAGCTAACCTAGTAGTGCTTCCATTCCAAGGATATGAAGTAATTCTGGGGATGGACTGGTTGTCATAGCATCAAGCCCAATTTGACTGTAGGAATAAGGTTGTACGTTTAGGGCCTCCTGAGGAAGAACGGGTGGAAATTAAATTTAACGGGAAGGTCAAGACAATGGGACTAATATCAGGAATGAAAGCTAGGAAGCTGGTATATAATGGAGCACAAGGATACCTTGCTTGCGTAATCAACAAACAAATCAACACATCAAGAATGGAGGAGATACTAGTAGTGAAGGAATTTCCTGATATCTTTCCTGAGAAACTAAATACATTACTGCCACATCGAGATGTCGAATTTACTATCGATTTGGTCTCTGGAGCAACTCCAATATCTCGAACACCTTATCGTATGGCTCCAGCAGTTCAACAAGAGTTGAAACTTCAGTTACAAGAATTGTTGTCACAAGGATATATTCAGCCAAGCACTTCACCGAAAGGAGCACCGGTGTTATTTGTGAAGAAGAAAGATGGATCATTAAGGCTTTGCATTGATTATTGGGGACTAAACAACGTAACAGTTAAAAACACATACCCTTTACCTTTGATAGATGAATTATTTGATCAATTGCAAGGAGCTGCTATGTTCTCTAAGTTAGATCTAAGGCAAGATACTATCAAGTGCGAATTAATGAGGAGGATATTCCCAAAACAGCCTTCAACACCAGATATGGACATTATGAGTTTATAGTGATGCCATTTGGGTTGACTAATGCTCCAGCAATATTTGTGGACCTAATTCATTGGGTATTCCAACCTTGGTTAGACCAATTTGTCATTATTTTCATTGACAACATTTTAGTCTATTCAAAGACTGCAGAAGATCATGTGCTACATCTAAGGCAGGTGTTACAGACCCTAAAGGAACACAGTTTATATGCTAAATTCAGTAAGTGTGAATTTTGGCTACAGAAGGTATCATTTATGGGGCAATAATTTCAAAAGAAGGAATAGCAGTGGACCCAACGAAGATCAGTTCCATTGTCAACTGGAAAAGCCCGGTGAATGTGATCGAGATACGGAGCTTCCTTGGATTGGCAAGTTACTATAGAAGATTTAGTAAAGATTTCTCACAAATAGCAGCACCAATGACAAAACTTATGCAGAAATGTGAGAAGTTCATATGGAACCCAAAAGCTGAGGCGAGTTTCCAGGAGTTGAAGAAAAGGTTAACAACCGCACCTGTGTTAACACTACCTGAAGGAAGAGAAAACTTTGTGGTATTGATGACGCAAAAATATATACACTTTTTGCTAGAATTTTCTGCTCGTTTTTGTTTATAATTTAGTGTCAATTAGGTAGAATTAGTTTATTTTTGGGGTGATTTCGTTGTTTAGGTATCTCAAGGGGTCAATATGAAAAATTAGCATATTTGAGGACTAAATTGCACTAAAAGACATCAAAAGGGACTGAAATTGGAAGCTGCTGAGCTGAAGCTGCCGGAATTAGAGCTACTGGAAGGACTGATCAGAGCTGGAGCAAGTGGAGGAGTCCTTGCTAAGGAAGGAAGATTAATAGCAGATGGATGCAAGTGGAAGAATTTGCTACAACATAACTCAATCAGGAGGAAGAATGGCAGCTGCCCTGCTGCCTAATTTACTACTGCAGTAGCTGTTGCTGGTGTCAATCAACGATGAGCCACTAGCTGAAATCTTGATGCCCAAGGAAGGAAATTGCGTTGCCATCACTGCAAGTTATTGCTGCTGCAAGTGGAAGAAGCAAAAGAGGGAGAATATGTGATAAGCAATAGCTGTAACTCTGCTACTTACCCACTGATTCTGCTGTTGAGTTGATGGATTGGCTGCTGCAGAAGGGTGCGCAATGGTATAGCAAGTGACCCAGGAAACATGGAATAAAAGGGCAGAAGATTCAGGCTAAATTGGGGGCTGAAGACATAATGATGGAAGGAAGCATGCTACTAATGCTATTGCTAAATTGGCTACTGAGGATTAAAGGATGAAGAAATAGAGACTTGTGGCTGGAAATTGGAGCAGCTGCACCGGAGAAGAAGACTAAGAGGAGCAGGCAATGATGAGAGTGGTAAATTGCGGCTGAGGAGAATGAGCAACCAAAGAGTTGGCAAGTTGCAGAACAAACAAATCTCCTCTGCTGCAAGTTGTTGTCTCACCTTTTTACTGCAGAGAAGAAGACCAGAGCTCCACCAATACATGCTTCTCCAAATCTCTATAAATACCCAGCCAATAGCAGTAGAAAAAAGAACAAATTGGGTAGTTAGATTTAGTCCTAAAGACAGTAGTTAGGTAGTAGTTAGTTAGTTAGAAACAAGGTAGTAGCAGGAATAAGAGAGACTATCACTCTGTCAAGTGGCGAACGCCACTCGCCATAGTGAGCAGATAGAATTGTCCCTGTTACCATGTTCCCTTTCTTTCCTTTAATCTTTAGATTAGAATTCATGTCCTATCTTTTGAACTCTGTTGCTCTCATGTTTAACTCAATAAGCATGAGTAGCTAACGCAGTTAAGGGTTCAATCCCTACTATCTTTATTTGAAAGTTTTGATTCAGTTTCCTTGATGAGGTGTTGTGCCTATATAAGTGATTTAATTAACCTTTTAGTTAACTTAATCAATTAATTAGAAGTGCATGCATTATCGATGACGCAAAAATATATAAACTTTTAGCTAGCATTTTATGCTCATTTTTGCTTATAATTTAGGGTCAACTAGTTAGAATTAGTTTACTTTTGGGGTGATTTTGCAGTTTAGGTATCTCAAGGGGCCAATATAGAAAATCAACATAATTTAGGACTAAATTGCACTAAAGGGCATCAAAAGAGACTGAAATTGGAAGCTGTTGGAGCTGAAGATGCCGGAATTGGAGCTGCTGGAAGGACTGATTAGAGCTGGAGCAAGTGGAGGAATCCTTGTTAAGGAAGGAAGATTGATAGCAGATGGATGCAAGTGGAAGAATCTGCTGCAGCATAACTCAATCAGGAGGAAGAATGGCAGCTGCCCTGCTACCTAATTTGCTACTAGTGTCAATCAATAAGGAGCCACTAGCTGAAATCTTGATTCTCAAGGAAGTAAATTGCGTTGCCATTGTTGCAACTAATTGCTGCTGCAAGTGGAAGAAGAGAAAGAGGGATGATATGTGATAAGCAGAAGCTGCAACTCTGCTACTTACCCACTGATGGTGTTGCTGAGTTGATAGATTGGCTACTGTAGAAGGGTGAGCAATGGCATAGCAAGTGACCCAGAAAACACGAAAGAAAAGGGTAGAAAATTCAGGCTAAATTGGGGGCTGAAGATATAATGATGGAAGGAAGCATGCTGCTGATGCTGCTGCTTGCTGCTACTGCTAAATTGGCTGCTGAGAATTAAAGAATGAAAATATAGAGACTTGTGGCTGGAAATTGGAGCAGCTACACCGGAGAAGAAGACTAAGACGAGCAGGTAATGATGAGAGTGGTAAATTGCGGCTGAAGAGAATGAGCAGCCAAAGAGAAGACTGCAACTTGCCAACTAGGCAAGTTGCAAAATAAACAAATCTCCTCTGCTGCAAGTTGTTGTCTCACCTTTCTGCTGCAGAGAAGAAGGCCAGAACTCCACCAATCCAAGCCAAATCTCTATAAATACCTAGTCGATAGCAGTAGAAAAAAGAACAGATTGGGTAGTTAGATTTAGTCCTAAAGACAGTAGTTAGGTAGTAGTTAGTTGGTTAGAAACAGAGTAGTAGCAGGAACAAGGCAGACTGTCACTCTGTCAAGTGGCGAACGCCACTCGCCATAGTGAGCAGACAGAATTGTCCTGTTATCATCTTCCCTTTCTTTCCTCTAACCTTTAGATTAGGATTCATGTCCTATCTTTTGTACTCTGTTGCTCTCATGCTTAACTCAAAATTTTACCGT